ACAGGGTACTCAGCTGGACAGATGCTGCCTGATCTCTTGTGGCCGTGTAATATGTTAAAATTCCTTCACCTGTAATCTTACTGCTGAATGTTGTGTGCTGTAGGTGTCTGAGTCTGATACTCAGGAAAACCTTTTTTAAACCTTTTTTTTTTTTTTTGACTGAAAGTATCACCTTTTTTTACCCCAGTAGAGATGTTTGAAAATGATAGCTTTGTAATGCTAATACAGGAATTGATGTTGAGAAAAATCTGTCTGGATACTGGATCTGAGTTAGGGAAATATCTGTCAAGCTTAAAAGTAATTTTCTTCTAGGATGAAAAAAAAAATTTTTGGTATGCAGGAGGTTTTTGTAAGATAGAGCAGGCCTGTATATCTTGCTGCTTTAATTGCTGTGTTGTTTAGTTTGGAAGAATTTAAAATAGCTGTGTAGGGGTGTCCTGGGTTGGGTTCCCCCACCCTGATCTGAAGTGCTTCCATTATAGTGCTATCTAGTTATGCTGCAATTTCTGAACCGTGCCTGTTGAAACTCAATAATCATATGACTTGTGTTCTAGCTCGCCTATTGTGTTGTACAGTTCCTGGAAAAAGATACAACTTTAACAGAGCCTGTAAGTGTTTTTCAGTTGGATGTTTTTCTATTTTGAATTTCAACCAAGTATTTCAGTTTAACTTGTTAGAATTGTATAGCAGTGCTCTCTGTGCTGTCTTAATTAACGGTCCATAGGTGGTGTTGGGGGGCGAGGGAATTAAATCTGGAACAGTTATTAAGAAAATTCTGGGTTTGAAAGGGCAGTTATCTCTTAACCTGTGACTGAGGTAGAGCACAAATTTAAATAAAGGTTTGAACCTGACATCATGCGGATTACCTCCTATGAGAAAGCATCTAACAACTGTATTCCCCCCTGTAAGAACTAAAATTTCAATATTTTTGGTGCTGATGGCTTGTGCCTAGCTGCTGTGTAAAGCTGAAATATTTTAGGGAGTAAACAATCCCAAAATAAAAGTTGGAAAGAGCAACAACACTTTATTTAGGCAGGAGGACCTCTGAAACTCCAAACGCGATGTTTCTGTTCTGTCTCTTCAGTTACCGGGGTGCCTCTTGGCAGTTACAGTGCAGGTGCTTCAGGCATCAGTGGCTTTTGCCAGACTGAATCTCCCATGATATGTATTGACAGCTCAGCTAAAAAAGGGTTTGCAGTGCTTCATGCAAGGGATTTGGCAATGCCCATAAAGAAGAATGCAGGCTTGGGGCAGTGCAGCAGCTCGTGGGGACAGAGACTGATGTCAGAGCAGTGAGAACAGAAACTGGTTTTAGTTGGACAACTGGAAATCTTTCCATTAGGGGTGTGTTGATATTTAAATACTTTATCCCTTTTTGTGACAGAAAATTGAAGAGCTTATGCAAAATCAGAATTTTTCTATGCAGAAAAAAGATAAACAGCATCTTCTTTGCCCCTGTGCTGCAGTGTTGCAGCTACACTGGTCAATAAGCTTATTTTGTTGGATAGGATGAGGGGAAAGGAATTGTGTAAGCCTTATTCCTTAAACCAAGTGATAAAACAACCCAGCATTTTGACAGTTAAAGTTGAGATGTGAGCAGAAAACATGTAGTATTACATAAAAACCTGCAGGATTGAATGAAGTGACAACCTAACAAAGTCAGAACTTTCCAATAGGAATTTACTGAACTGCAGTGTGGGATCCAAGCCCAAAGCTTGAAGTGAAGGCAGCAGGGCTTTTGAAGTGGGAGAGCCATCGTGCAGTTCTGAGACTTCATCTGGACTGTGGGGTATACAATTCTGGTTGCCTCTTAATCAGGAAAGATTAATTCAGAATGGAGGAGATAGAAGAGCTCAGTGCAGAGTCACTGCCTGTGCTTGCTTTGGTCATTGCTCTGAGCGTATAGTAAAATTGGCTTTGTAAAGGAGTAAAAGTTAAAAAGGTAAGAAGTGAAGCTTTAAGAAACTTTCTGAAATGCTTGAAAAGTAAATGTTAAAATTTGGGGCAACTGATGAGATAGCATTTGAAATTTTTTTTGGCTTTAGGTCAAGTAATATTTTAAGAACTCCATCAGAAGGCTGTCTTCACGAATACCTTACTGTTATTTTTCTGGCAGGAATTGTCACTCAGGGTCAATTTAGAGGACATTCAATCTGAGCTCTTGTAACTATGGTAGCCTGCCTTAGGTCAGTCCTGATGTTTGCAGAGCTGACAAGAAGAGTTTGTTACCTAACCCTGCTAAGTGCAATGGCCTTTACATTGAAGAAATTGGGCTAAACATGCACTCCTTGAATGTAAGATAAGTTTTCTAGCAGGTGCCTACTGTCATAAGGCACTTTATGGGAACTTCGTAGCTTAGGGAAGAATATTAACCTTGAGTTTTGTGTAGTAAGAGCAGCAAGATTTCAGATCTCATTCGTGTTAAATATTTCTTTGAATAAAATCTTTGAAGATAAATGTGCATGTATCAGCTTTTTATTGTGAAAGCGTGGTCAAGCTGGAAACTGATATGCTCTCTGAGGAGCAAGGAGTAGATATCTTGTTGAGGTCTGCGCTGTTATACTTGGAACATGTTATTTCTCTGTCAAGTTGAGAGTATGAGTCTCTGTAGTGAAGTATATGTAACACTCTTAAAGTAACAAATGCTCGAAACTGGACTCTTCCAGCTAACTGAATTTTATGTTTTTAAGACCAGTAAATTCATGTTCCAGTTAGGGGTGTATGGTAGGTTCTCACAGCTGGTTTTTGTTTTTTGTTTTTTTCCCCGCAAATGTGGTTGTCTGAAATTTTTTGGCTTGCTTGTTCTGGGGAAAGGGAAGGTGTTGGCAGAATGAGCTGTTATACCTGTCACCATTCGGATTTGTTCTTTAAAAATACAAAATCTCAGTAGTATAAAACTGAGTCATTCAGTTATGAGCTAATTAACAGAAAGTGGCCCTAGATTTAAAGTGTATTTACGTAGACTGTTTTAGGTTATGAATCTAGAGAAATCAAATGTAATTAATGCAAGTCTGACTTGAGAGTGGAGAGGGGAGTGGGCAGAGGATTGCCAGGCCAGGTAACTGCAGTGAAATGGGGGAGCTCAAAATTTCTCCTGCCCCTCACCTTGCCGGCTGCCCCAGCTCTCCTGCTCTGTCCGTGGAGGAGCAGGGAGGCCAGGTCAGTACGAGCTGAGCAGTTTGGGGAGGGAGCTCTGCCTCGGTGGGCCAGGCAGCAGAGTTGTCACCTGTGTGGGCTGGCCCGGGCCTCCTGCGCCTTCATCCGGTGGCAGATGCTGGCATTAGTATTTCGGTTGTCTGCCCCTTCCAGGCAGCCGAGCAGAACTGCGTGGTCAAGGCTCTGTAAGGCACCTGTGCTTTCCTTGTAACTTTGTTTTTTGTGGATTTGAGCACAGGACTTTACCAGCTGCCTGAGCTTTCTGCGTTTGCTTAGTGTCATTTGAAGCGACATTCAGTTTTGCAGTAGCAGGGTATGTGGGTATCCTAGGATAAAGACTTGTGGGCACTTAAAATCATACTCATTTTTTTCCTCTGGAAAGTCACTTCCGATAATATACATAGTTGGGAATAAAACAGACAGCTGGGAAGCTGGGGAAAAAAAAAATCAACATGGCAAAAACCAAATAGGGAATGTATTCCAATAGTGGAGTAAGTTTTACAGTTGGATACGATCAAATAGGTGCTGTTCTATCATAAAAATAGAGCTCCTTTCCTCAGAATGAAAGTTTATAGGGCTCTGAGAATGTTTCTGCTTCTGAAAGATACAGTTACAGCTTTTTTTTTAAACCACCATTAATTTTATAATCTAGATGCCAACTCTGATGTTTGTTTCCAGGAAACAGGCCTCCAGCCTGTGCTTGTTGTGTGTTCGCCCCCCTTCCTCCTGGGGGCCCTACTTGCTCATTAAGTTTCCTGAAGAGTTTTTCCCAGTCTTGTGTACGATAGTTTCCAATGTAGATACTGGAATATATTTTTCTCTATAAGTTCACATCTTTTTGGTTTTAGTTTCTAGTCTTTAACATGTCAAATTCTAGAAGGAAAAAGGAAGTGGTGGGGCCATGGCTCCTCTGTATGGCCCTGTTTGTGCAGTCAGCGTATACCACCTGCTCTTGGGCTTCAAACCTGGATGCCCGGAGAGGTGCTTCCCAAAGTATGGACGAGTAGAAGACAAAAAATATTCTGGGCAGCCTAGCTACAGGGGAGTCAACTTCATTTTGTGGTGTTTTGATCTTATTGGCATCCTATCAACTAACGTATGTACTGGGGTGTGAGCGGATAATCAAAGACTTCTGAAGTGATAAGGGTCTAAATTTATTTCGATAACCTAAACAAGATAAATATTTAAATGAGACAGCAAAGTATTTATTTTCAGTGGAACTACATTTAGCTGTATTCAGTTTTCATTGAACCTCTGGATAAGGAAAAGCAAACTAGTACTGTTTTTTTTTTAATCTTATCAAATATGTAACAGAAACTTGTTCTGCTTTAACCTGTTTGTATTTTTAATACAGGTAATCAGAGGACTGCTCAAATTTTGGCCCAAAACTTGCAGTCAGAAAGAGGTTGGTTTTTGTCTCTTGCTTCTGGTGTCTGCTGTGATGTAAAAGGTGGTGCCAGGTCCACGTGCCTTACCTCTGCTGCGCCTTTCGGGAGGTTCTTCAAGCTCTCATCTTGTCATGCAACTCAACGCAGTTGCTTCATGTGACTGTTCTTGCCGTGGTGTCCCTATGTTAAAACTGTATGAAAAGTTGCATTCTGATTAAGGTATTGTATAGAGAAACAATTTCCTGAGGCAAGAAGTATTTTAGTAGATACAGAGCAGGTTGGAGGTAGTCGTCTGCAATGGGACACAGACTTGGCATTTGACGTACCGAGTAAGCGTCTGGTAAAGCGTACATACATTCTTTTTGCATAGTATAAAAATAACTTTAAGTGGCCTTGGGATTTTTTTTGTTTGTTTCTTCTATGTAGTTCAAATGAGTTTAAAAATCAGGAGTTTGATTTATGCCACCAGATCCCACCCCCCTGACTGCCCGTTAAAAGTGGGGTCCCTTGACAGTGTTGTCCCTGTTTGTGTGAGTGGTTTTAAATTTTTCTGTGGCACCTACCTAGTGTTCTGCTGGTTGTAATTCAGAACAAGAATTAACTATTTATCACTTCAAAAGCTACTTTGGAGATCTTGGACAATGGTCCTCTCTGCAGCCATTGCTGAAGAAATAAAATGCTCTAGCGTTTTTAACTGTAAAAAACCCCATATTGTGCAGAAGCAGTTCTGTGAAGTGTTTACAGCAATTACAAACAAGAAGAAATCCGAGATGAGAGCTGTAACCTGGCAGCTGAAACTGATGACTGGCTGCTTTGAGGCTGCAAAAACCCTGTAGATGTCTGAGGCATTGTAATTACTTACATTGTTCTTTGCAGGATTCATGACTAATGTACAAGCTGTATTTTGCTTGTGTCTGTTTACAATGGTGATACAAAAAGTTCTCATACTTCTTGATATATTTCTTTTATATAAACAGGTAATGTTTCTAGGTGAAATTGAAGAAATCTTAGATGTAATAGAACCGACACAATTCAAAAAAATAGAAGAGCCTTTATTTAAGCAAATATCCAAGTGTGTGTCAAGTTCACATTTTCAGGTAAAAAAAAAAAGTGTATTAAAAAAAAAAAAACCACCAAAAAACCAAACCAAACCCCAGCTGGTAGTAGTTTGTACTGTGGCTGTTGACCCCTAAACTTTGTGTTCTAGGTTGCAGAAAGAGCTTTGTACTTCTGGAATAATGAATATATTCTTAGCCTGATTGAGGAGAACATTGATAAAATTCTACCAATTATGTTTGGCAGTTTATACAAGATCTCCAAAGAACACTGGAATCCGTATGTAATGTTTAACTTCATCTATAGTACCATAAATAAATTGTCCACTGTTTCAGGTTTGGATCATAAGCTTGTAAATGTGACTTATTTTTACTTAAATCAGATGAAATCAATGAGATCACGGGTGCTAAAACAGATGTCGCTTTCAGCTATGTCATGCTTTCAGTGTTCTGCATTGTTATGATGGAGACCTGGAATTTACTGAAAAAGGATGAGGAAGTTGCATGATGGTCTTTATGCTGTAATTTGATCTTATGTGTTAGTTAAAAATGCAAATTAATACTACTTGGATGAAAACAATTTCCAAGGGATGCTTCTGCTATGGTTATGCTTTGCTGTCCTTTACAACTCTAGATGAACTAAATTCTGTCAGTGTCTCCACAAGTAGTTATTGCTGCCCAGTGAGGTAAGGGGAAAAGATACATTCAGAGAAGAGCAATAGTAAAATAAAATAAAAAGCAAAGTCTGCTTGTGTTCCAGCCCCCTGAATTGAGGTGCAAGTCAGTCTGCAGAACGTAAAGCTTGTACAGGCAAAAGCCGGGCTGGGCAGGAGCCTCCCGCAACTTTGAAGTAAACCAACTGTCCTAAGCCCTTGGGGGCTCTGAAATTATTCTGAATTTATTGAGGTGGTGTGTCTAGTCGCAAACGTATCAGCTGAGACTGAATATAAGTTTTTGAGAACAAGTTCTTGGAGCATTAATAGTACTTGGGACCTCAGCAAATCTGAAGGACACTTCTGTTTCCCTCGCTGCGGGCAGAAGCTGCTCTTTATGAAGGAAGTGAAAGACACAGGATAACTGTACACCTTGAGGACGAGAAAGTTTGGGGAAGGAAGTCTAACCCTTTGGTTTTAATCTGTTTTGGAGGGCAGAGAAATGCACTTACATCCATCTACCTGTCCGATATGGACTTAACTACTCACTAAGTCAGGCTTTTCCTCTCAGAAGACCAAAACCCCGAATAAGCAGTTGTCTTCAAACCACATGAAAGCCAGTGTCAAAAAAAAAAAAGGTGCGTAGACAGGCTACGTGTACTGTGAGTTTTGAATGCGCACGGGGCCTCTGCCGAACAGCTGGGAGATTTCCCAGTGCCCCAGCGGGCAGAGCGTACCGAAAAGGCAAACCTGGCCCTTTTGTCACTTCCGTAGATTTTTCTTTTGCTCATTGTTCAAGGCCACAAGACTGCATGGCACCCCTGCTCTACAGCCTCACGGTCAATACCGCTGTGTGAAGGTGAACTGCTAGACAGGGGAGAGATGGTTTTGACCGTTTACCTACTTTGATTAGTGATGAGGTTATTGATAGGCACCTTGTTAACGTTTAGTTTTATTGCTATTTTTGCATTTCTTTGTACAATTAGGAGTGGGTTTACAGGAGATAAACACCATGGTATTTAAGATAATCTATTGAAATACGAATGCTTTCACAAAAAGAAGAGTAGTACCTAATGGGGAAATACAGCCAGCCACGTAAGGCACAGCCAGTACTACTCAAGCTGTTGAGTTTCTCAGAGAAGCTAAGGTACCATTATCTGGTGCTCCCAGTTCAGTTCTGTCATGGGGCTGAAAACTATCTGCTGCTGCCCATAAACGCTGCTGGTGGAGCTTTTAGTAACTGTACTAAACCATGTGCCTGTGGTTCCTCTGCTGCATTCTTTTGCTCAGTCTTGAAGCTATTAGCCAGAAGTTTTGGTTTTCTAGACTCTCTTATTTCATTACTCAAATAGTACAAAATTGTTATTAAAACCTGGTTTGTGAAACGTTAACGTAATCAAATGGCTTTATAGTATGGCCACGTAATAATTACATCCTGTGCAATTACAAGAGTCAAGATTTTAAGGTTAAATAGCCATTTCAAAAAACATTTAAATATGCATGTTGTTAATTTACAGAGGAAATTAGTAAAGGATTTTGTTTCAGAAACTCACCGACCTGACAGTAGTATCTTAAAGAAGCTCAGAGTCCAAACAAGCAATAGAATGCTTGTTTAGTGAAGGTGACTTTGTGTTGAGTAATTCTAAGGGTTGTGTTCCTTCTGTGTTCCTAGAACTATTGTGGCACTGGTCTACAATGTGCTGAAAACCCTGATGGAAATGAATGGCAAGCTTTTCGATGAACTTACCAGCTCATATAAAGCAGAAAGGCAAAGGTACCGATCTTCTCTCAAATGCACGCTGATGAATACGTATATAAAATGTGCCAGCTGAACAGAAACAACACTGAACTGTGGTGGCTGTGGGGTTCTGTAGTGGATCCGCTCACCGGTATGTGCTGTGTGGTGCCGCTGGGGCGAAGCACCACGCAGCGCAGGTAGGTGGCGTGGCGGGAGCCGAAGCCCAGGGGGGCGGCGGCAGGAGGGCCCCAGCTCCCCTCCTGCCCCGGCAGGGAGCACGGCTCTCCTGGGTGGGAAGAGGGGCTCAGCTGCTGCTGCGAGGGGCCGCCTGGTGCCGGCTCTGCTGCTCCAGGGGTGCTGCCCGAAGAACGCTGAGCTGGAGAACACGCCATAGCCCAGCTAAAACCCCGCTCTTCTCCCACTGACCTGCTAAGCAGTGCTGTTGGCGTACAGGAGGCAGGGCATAGAGGATCCTAGGCCAGCTGAGACCACCTGCTCCGTCTCCTTTCAGTAGTTGGGCTTTTCTCTCCCAAAGACACTTACTTAGTCCCTTACTTCGTTTGCACATGATAAAGAACCTCCTTAGAATTGCAGTCATCCGTGCAACGCCACGCTACGGCAATCGTCTGCGTTTGTCGGAGCAAAGTTACAGTTTTGCCACTAACTGTTACCAATTTGTACACTTGCTTTTTAATAGAGGAAACTGTAATTGACTCTAAAAATAGCTTTGGAGAAAATCTTAGAAGAGAAATTGCTAGATGTAAATCACAGTTATTAAGTAACTGCGTCTCCACGCACTTAAAACACATCTGAAATTGATACTTCACTCTTTCTACAGAGAGAAAAAGAAAGAATTGGAACGTGAAGAGTTGTGGAGAAAGCTAGAGGAGCTACAGCTTAAGAAGGCTATGGCAGAAAAGCAGAACAGCACCCACAATGTGCTAAATGCACACAATACAAGTGCCAAATAAAAAGAAATGACCACCTCTACTCGGCAGACGTACTTTTTTGTACCCTTTTGAAATATATAAGGATTTGCAAAAAAAACCTCATCAGTATAATAGAAACAGCCAATTTTTTCTCTGGCAAATGTAAAGATTTGAATTTAAGTACAGCAGTTAAGTGATGTCATTACCACAGCATATTGTAAATTTGTCTAATTATTGATATACTGTCACTTCCAACGTTTCATAGAACTGAATTATCATCCTTAATGAGTGAAATTATTACGGGAGTGGTGAGAATTATGACTTGAATTTTTGATTGTGTTGCACATAGGTGGTATAGTTTGCTATGTACATTTTTTCCTTGTTTTATATGTGCTTTTCACATCGCTGCATACTTTGGTTAAGATGATAGAAAAGGCTTCTAGTTGTGCTGTATTTTCATCAAATAAAACCAAGGTACGTTACCAGTAACTTGAGATACTTGCTATGTGCCCCTTACAGCATTGGAAGGAACCTGGATGTGGTGCTGTCCTTGGATTCCTGATTGGGTTCAGATGTAGATTTACAGGACGCTCCTGTTAGAACGAGGCAAAGGAAGGAGAGAAGCCAGCTTGAGCAGGCGGGGGTGGTCCATGTGTCTGGCCGACCACTTGGCGAGGGCCTCCGCCCTGTTCCTGCTGCCTCTTGGTCCTGGGCTGCTGAGAGACTTCCTCCTGCTGCAGCTGAGGATGGAGCTTCTTCTAGAGAGCCCATCAATGATGCTCCTCGCCAGCCCAAGGACTCCCTGCAGGGTAGTGCAGGTCTCTGAGAGATCTTGGATATTTCTGCATTAGTTTTAGCATCTCATGGACTGAAAAATGAGACCAAAATTGGGAATATCTTCTCTTTTTTTTTTTTTTTTTTAGGAAGGAGGGAAGGATGTCAATAAATAGTTTTATGTTTTATTTAAAGAAAATGCAGTCTGTTCCTTAAAGGTGGAAAGTTGGCAATAGAAGTCTTGTCTGTTTACTTGATCAAGTATTTTTCACATCTTTTATCAGAGTACCATTCCAATCTCTTAAACCGCAGTTGTGTGGAAAACTTTTGTAATGAAAGATCTTTGGGGAATTGAGCAGCATTCAATAAAGTCTTTATGTTTGTATTTACTGCTGTATATCCCATCTTTGTGTTTATAAAGACCAGGAGAACTAGAACGGCTTTTACGAACCACCTTTTACCTGCACGCAGCTCTGAACAACCTGTGGCTTTTCACCGAGTGGCAGAAGCGTTGGCGGCGCAGGCTGCTGGGGTTGCAGTTGTGGTGAGTAGGGTGGAAGGCTTTGTTCTGCTCCGTGGTGGTCACAACAGGTGGCCTGGGCTGCTCTTACCTATGGCTGCACTGGGTTACTGACATGATTCAAGCAGTTTCCAGGGGAGGGAAAAGCCTCTACTACACTGTTGGAGTCGACTCTATTAGACTTTTATTGTTACTTCATTTTTGTCTTTAAGTAGTTGTGTTTCCCAGAGGAAAGGGGAATACCACTGCCTGAAGTGCCTTACACTCCCACTAGCTCTGTCTGAGCAAAACAGATCAGGTGCTACTCCCTGTGTGTCAGTTTGGTATAAAAGTACAGAATAATCAGCGGAGCAAGGCAGACTCTGCTGTGGCAGGTAGCTGCCCAAAAACTGGAGGGGCAGAGCAGGGGCCATCCTTTACTTTTCATGGTGGTTCTGGAAGCCCTGAAGCTGGACGTTAAACACTGAGAGCCTGCAAGGGTGCGCTTGGCCACCTCAGGAGGGAGATGACGGTCGTGCAGACACAGTTTACCTCAGTTGAGTACTCTAGTGCCTGTTTCCATAGAAGAATAAACACCCCAATTTGAGATAAAAAATATTTTCAGCTGTCCTACTGTCTGAAGGAAATAAATTATACAAATGTTGGGGAATCTAACTCTTGCCTTACAGTGCTACAAAGAACATGTCACTGGCATTTGCAATTGTTACGAGTTGTTCAAAAATTGACAAATATGGCTATCAAGAGTAAGTAACAGAAAAACACCACAGCAGCTGTAAGAGGACATTTCAAACAATTTGTGCACCACTTGCTATTGGAATCGCTCCTATAACTAGATATATAAAAGTAAGGTTTCGTGGCTGAAATCAGCTGGCCTGCTCCAGTAATGACACTTCCTTATAGCTGAGAAGTAGTGACTGAAGTTGACTGGCAATTTATTTTAAAAAAAAAATACATTAAATACTGCAGAAAGGGGTGCATCTTTTATTTACTTGTACCTCCTACTCACCCCACAGCTGGGGCCAAGTTGTCTTCCAACTCACCTTCACTGACCTCATTAGCAAAAAAAAAAAGGAACAAAAAAATGCAGCAGGATGCGTCAGTACCTGATCAAACCGTTGTTTCTAAACATTTTTGTAAAATCCGAGAAATAGCTGCTGCAATATCATGTTAAAGGAACACTTGGATGTTTCTTTGACAGCAGGGAGCCAAGACAGCTCAGTTGTCTCTGTCTTAGCTGTCGAACAGGCCCTCAGCAGTGTGTTTGGGGAAGCAAAGGGCTGTAAGATGACCAGGGAGGTCAGTGGAATGCCTTCCCACCAGCATAGCCTGTTATGTAGCAAAATCACCAGGGTGTTTCCTGGTACGGATGGTCTAGGAGTGGGGCAGTTTGGTTTTTCTCTTATTCCCCCTCTGCCCTCTTCTGTCACATTCCCCCCCACACCAGCAGCTGTCAAACACCTTGCTTCGATGGCGCGTGGTTGGTCTTTGCTGCTCCCCCTGCCTTTAACCGTGCTGCTGGCTGTGCACTACGGCAGGCAGTGCAGGTACAGCATTGCCCGCTGGACCAGCGCCGTCACCGCAAGATGCGGGACAGGACGTGTTGACTGAACACCGCCTGTGCCTACAGCCCAACGGTTTTTCCCAGAGGGTGATGTCGTTAGCTCAGACTGTACTGCTCAGGTGACGGGCCGACTGAAGCACCCACACAGGACTTGGGGACCAGGCAAGAGCGGTGACTGCACGGGACTGGGGGGTGTAGCTGCCTCCCGCCCTTGCCTGTCTGCACACAGGAGAATGCCCTCGCTGCCTCCGTGCCCAGCGCTGCTGTTCTGTTTTTCTTATCCCAAGGGTTTGTTGCTCCCTTGTTGAAGGCCAATGCAGTGCCTTGATTTGCTGTGGAAATCAGCTGAAAGGTGTAATTTTGTTCCAAAATGCTTCCTTAGAAGGCAGAAGAAAGAATGAGGGGGTACTTTTTCATATGCTTACTGCTATATTAATACTTCATTAGTAAAGGATGGAAGAAGCAAAATACGACTTGGCATGCTGCTTTCCTTGCAACAAGGCCCTCAGTGTGGTGCACTGGTGCCCTGTAGCCTCCACAATGCTGATTTAGGTATCTAGACTAATGAGGGACTTAGAAGGGAGAAAAAGACTACACCCCCACAGCACAGTTAGTTAGCACCCTGTCTCTATAGAACAGAGAATCACACAAATGCCAAGCTGATGAAAGGCTATTTTTCACTTCTTTAGCAAAGACTGGGGGAAAGAGGGAAGAGCAACAGCCTGAGACAGACTTTTAACTCTGTCATCAGCTCAGGTATGGAGTTGCTTGAGTTCAGTTTGAGTTGTACCGATCAGGAATAGATTTTTGGTTTTTACCTTATCCTCTTGCAGTAATACTCCTTCCTGGACCACCTCCTGTAAAGCTCCAGCTGAATCTGAGAGCAGGTAGCTTCAAAGAATGTACACAGTATCTCATTTAAAGTATTTTTTAATATTAAAGTCAATATATTTTAAATCAAAAATGACATGTAGTAGAATTCCAGTGTATTTTGTTTTAACACATACTTCGGAGAGAGGAGGCCAGACAGTTTTGTGGAGTGCTTTACCTTCCTCTAACCACAGTCACGGAAGTGACGTGTTACGGCAGCACACGCAGGCCGCAGCTCATGGAGAAGTTACGTGGTCTCCTGTGCCGAGAAGCATCAAACACTGTCCATGTTTTCAGAACTTAACCGCTACAGTGTTGACTTTCTGAGCATTACTGAATTCCCTCCTTCTCCCTTGGTCCCCCCATACATTGAGGTAAGCTTGTTAATCTTGGAATAGAAAAGCATGAGGTGGTTAGACCTGCACTAGGGTTAGCTTCTTTCTGAAGTCAGTTCACTAGGCTGTTCCTCCAGCCATCGTTTTTCCTGAAGAAAACATACCTGGTTTGCATCGTTAATTGCTGTACTGCTGATGGAAGTTTATTCTGTTATTTTCTATCCCTTCTGCTATGAATAGTTAAGAGGCAGTCTTAGTCTCAGCTTATGTGGTTCATTACTTGACTCCTCCTCTTCAGATGTCTCTTTCGGATTTTGATCATCCACTTAACACTTAGCTTAGCAAAGTCTGCTGCCTTAAACAGAGCCAAAAAGATGCCACAAAGGAGAGCAATCGTATTCCAGGGATTTGCTGTGATAATCTGAAAGAGATGAAAAATATTATTCACCTTATCTGACTCAGCATATATTATACCTATCTGGTGACAAACAGTTCCATTTTCAAACTGAAGTGTTTTGCAGCATGTTCCTTTATGCTGCAAAGGTGGCCTGTGGTGCCTTCTCCACACATCTGCCTCACACCATGGCTTCCTGATTGCTTCTGTGAGGAAGGAAACAGACTGTACTGGCTGCTAAATTCCTTTTAGACTGTTTCAGGATACTGAATTCTTTAAAGCTTTAGAGATACAGTTAAATTGCTAATGTTAAGACTGTAGATTAAATTTACTATATTATTTAAAGATTTACAAAAAAAAACCAGTCACATTAAAGACAGTCTTCCAGAAGACAAAGCTAAAAGAAGCAACTACTGGAAAGCTTTAACAAGACAGCATTGTAATGCTAAACCAGCTTTTGCCAGCGGCAACTGTGTCTGCAGACCTACAGCAAGTATTTTATATTTCTATTTTTAACTAATTTGGTTCAAGACTAGTTACGTTTGTTTATAGTTTGCAATTCTCCTCGCACCTCTAGGCACAAGGATGACTTCTAGGATCTCAGATGAAGCAAGCAGAGCTAGGCCTAGGCAGCAATAAAGTAGCGGACAGCTTTGGGACTTGCCATGGAGCCTG